AACTATTTTTTCATGAACTTTTTGAAGTACCCTCATATAGTTCACATTGTTGGTAGGGACTCCTGTACTCGATTTACAATGATGGGGTTACATCCCCATAAACCCATTTGTAAGTTGAAAATATAAATCAAAAATGCATTTAATATACCTAACCTGCAGATCATAATAGCCTAGCCTACCTTAAACATGCTCAGACACTTGCCTACAGTTGGGCAAAACTGTCTAACACAAAGCCTGTTTTATATAGTAAAGTGTTGAATGTACCGTGTAATTTATTGAATGCTGTACTGAAAGTGAAAAACAGAACAGTCGTATGGGTACTTGAAGTACATTTTCTACTGAATGCGTAGCACTTTTGCACCATCATAAAGTTGAAACATAAGTTGAACCATCGTGAATCAGGTACCGTCTATACCAAATTTCTTTATGCATTGTTGTGGCTTTGTTTTTAGAAGCGTGATGAAATTTCACTTTCGAAAGTTGACAGTTATTTACTAGTGTGAGCCACATGTTGGTATTCATAACTGCAAATTTGGATCTGCCTGTGCCTTTATTTTTTCCCTTCTGACTGCTGGGCCTGACATGTGCTAGAGGTTAAAAGAAAAAAAATTGTTGTTTTTGAAGTCTTAACAGTGAAGATTGTCTTATAAATGAAGGCAGTAATTGTAATCAGGATTGTCATATGTGTCTTCATATATAAGTACCATGTTAATGATTCACTGGAGTCAGCTTTTAGTCTTGGAATTTTGCTGGCTGAAAGTAAAACACAAATATGATGAAAATTTTTGAAATTTGTTTTTTCCTGGACTGGCTCAGAGTGAACCTATCTTCATTAGGTACCAAATTTGACTGTGAAACCATCCACTCAAACTTTATTTTGAAACCATAAGGCATACCACCCAAAACTTCTATTGACCCTTGGGGAACAAACAGGAAGGACTTCCAAATAGCCTGAAAGTAAGAGCACAGGGTGACAGGAGAGTTACGGTGCACTTGCTGAGAACACTCTATCCTGGCATTGTATTTAATTGCAAAGGCTGGAGCTGCTAATTGGCCAAAGGGGAAGCCTGCTTGCTGCCAAAGTTATGATTAAAAGTGATGATTAGTGACAAAGCAAATGAAATACAGTAATTGATAAGATTTTTTTGTCTAATGATTTAGTTCATTGTCCATTTATAGAACGGACCAAATATGTTGTGCAGCTGTTATTCTCCCAGGAGAGACAAAGTTGGTTCTGTTCACTGCAAACTGATGAACCCACTGATATTCTAAACTCAGCTGATCCTCTGCTGTTTGTCAGCCGTGAGCTGAATAAACATGTCCATGAAGACATTTTTTTTTTCCTAGCTCGTAAATTGGAGGAAATTCTTTAAAATCTATTGATGACTTTGACAAACATGGGGAAAACATGGTGTGTTGGTTTAATATAGGGATTTGGTCCAGTGTGTTCCAGCATGAGAAACTTGACCAGAAACGAAATCTCCTGTTAATCTCGTGCATGCAGGAATATTTAAGAGTATATATTATCTAATACAGTGTCAAGTCATTACTCTCATTAAAGGCAGGTGACTTGGGCCGGCCCGGTGGCACACTGCTATAGTGCGCCGCTTGGGAAGCGTGGCGGCGCTCCCGCCGAGGGTTCGGATCCCACATACAGACCAGTTCCTGCTCACTGGCTGAGCAAGGCGCGGGAGCAACACCGAGGGTTGCGATCCTGTTGTTGGTCCTGGTCCGGTACGGGGTTGACACTGAGGGTTGCGATCCGTTGCCGGACACGGAAAAAGACAAAAAAAATAAATAAATAATAATAATAATAATATTGTGTTAGATAACAATTTAATAATATTGTATCAAAGTGAAAAGTTTAAAACAAAACCGAAATGAATCAGCTACAAAAACAAAAGAGCAAATTGTAAGTGTTTAATTAAATGCCGATTTTATGTTAAATTTTGTATTCATTACACTTTTCTGCACATCTGGGAAAAAAAAATATCTGGCATTTTGAAATATTTGTCATGTATTTTCTTGGGCCTCATCCAAAATGATTTCATTTTCAATGTAATGTAAAAATAGTGTAGTTATATGGTGTATTTTAAAAATATTCATTGTTCCACAAATCATTTATATCATTTGAACATGTGAAGATTGGCAAATTAGTTCTGGTTTTGCTGGAAAATGATTTAAAGACCACAAGCACCCAGTTCTCCCTCATGCTGAGAGCTTGCAGAAGTCTCCCATTGACTGTTATTTAAAGAAAAGTGTCAAATCTTCGTGGAGTAAACCTTTCACTATGGGGTATATACCTTGATTGTGGGGGAAAGAATTTCAAAAAATTTGAAATAAGTATTTTGAGTAATCACATTTACAAAGTTAAGAGTAAAGGTCTCCATGAGTGTTTCCCAAAACTAGTTGATGAATGGATAAGGAAAGATTCCCTCTACCCCCTTTATTACTGTGCAAATATTATTAATAAAAGGATACATTCAGGAGATCAGACCCTGGATGATTTCTTGAAACAAAGTTTTTTCAGCCAAAATAGTATTTTGGTTAGGAATTCCTTTTCAGAATCTAGTTCTGTCAAAGAAGGTGATTAAATACCATTTGCCTGATATAAACGTGTTCGGATTCTGTGTTGAAAAAAATAAAGTTCGGGCTGGCCCGGTGGCGCACTGCTACAGTGCACTGCTTGGGAGCGCGGCGGCGCTCCCGCCGAGGGGTCGGATCCCACATACAGACCGGTTCCCGCTCACTGGCTGAGCGAGGTGCGGGCGCAGCACCGAGGTTTGCGATCCCGTTGCCGGTCCCCGGTCCGGTACGGGCGCGACACTGAGGGTTGCGATCCGTTGCTGGACACGAAAAAAGACAAAAAAGGAAAAAAAAAAAGAAAAAAAGAAAGTTGTCTGGTAGAGTCACATCTTCCTCTTAAACTAAGAAACAGCACCATAGATGGGGCTTTTCATAAATTTATTAGATTTTTATGAATTGTTTATTACATTTTAAATTAATTGCACTAAAAATAATGTAGTTTTGTTTTCATTGTATTTCTTTTTTCTTATTTATAATTTAATTTTATTTTATTTTACTTCTCAAAATACACTGTACTTGATTTTCACGCCCCTTTCACTGTGTTTATTTTCAGTGGTACCTCATGTTAGACAAATGATACTGTTTTTCCCTTTAGCATAGTGATACAACGTTTCCCCTTGTAATATATTTAAGTTAAAAAGAGTCTTCTTGGCAAGATTATCACAATAGTTATATTGTATCCTTTACATTGTATCAAGGAGTAGTTCATAATGTCCTTATGTTTTTATCACTGGTGATGTTTACTCGATCTTGTGGTTGATGTCTGCTGTGTTTCTCCATCCACTGAAATTTACTGTCTTTCTGTTGGTAGTTAGTTGATAAGTATCTTGAGGGAGATACCTTGAGACCAGACAAATCCCGTTTCTTTTCAAACTTTTGCTCACTTATTTTAGCGAGTATCAGTAGATCTCAGTAACATTTATTACTTTGGTGTGTGGAGATTCTGTTTTCCTCTTTACTCCTACATTTATTAACTGGATTCTATGAAGAAGAGATTTTTCTTTTCCCTTGTTTGTTTGTTTATTATATAAGTATGGAGTCATGGACATATATATCATCCTGTGGATTAAAATCTAATACTATCAGTATTGCATAACCTCATTCTAATCATGAAAGAATATTGGAAAAACCCAAATTGAGAAACAGCATCCATGACGTGAATGTCAGAGGAACTGCCGTAGATTGGAGAAGATTAAGAAGAATTGGTAACTAATGCAGTGTGGGATCCTGGGTAGAATTCTAGAACAAAGATCATTAGTGGGAAAATTGGTAATTTCTAAGAAGGTCTATAGGTTGGTTAACAACACTGTTTATTTCCTGTTGGTAGTTGTATCTGGTTATGTGGGGAAGTGGGTAAGACATACATGGGAGGAAGGGAACTTGTTCCATTTTGGCAACTCTTCTTTGTTTAAAATTAGTTCAAAATAGAAATTTTAAAAAGTCAGTTTAAAGAATATGATGTAAATAATGGTGAATCCTTTTAATTAATTATGCTTAAAATGAAATAATTTTCTGCCTTTGGACATATGGTAGGTAAAGGCTTTTTATTTGAAAATTTTTATAATGGAAAATATTTGGAGGATCTCTTTCTTTAGCTTTACATATTGACAGTGAGAAGCATTTGATTCTACATATTGTATGTTCACATATTAATGTATAATTTTAAATTGGCTAAGTTACTCTCTGGCACTGTTTTGATGGGTGTATCTGTTAAGAGATTTGAGTTTATTAGTTTTTCCAGTGGTTCACATGCATCTTGGACCTTTAATTTTATTTTGGATTAAATTAACAAAAATACAGTGTCCATACACTAAAGATGAACAGTTTTGAGGGGAGGAGGGTTGTCTTTAAGTATTTTTCATTTATTTGAAGTGTTTAACTTTTCCTTTTATAAACCAGATAGTTTTGTTCAAAATTTACTTTTACTTATGATGAAAAACAATTTTTAGAATATGGTAACAATAAAAAAATTGATTTTATTCATTGAAATTTCTGTTGAGATTATTGTAGGCTCACATGCAGCTATTAGAAATAAAACAGAGATCCCTTGTTCACATTGCACAGTTACCCTGTGGTAATGTTTTGCAAAACTGCAACATGATGTTACTTTGATACAATGCACCGATCTTATTCACATTTCCCCCATTTTACTTGTACTCACTGTGTATGTGAAAAAATGAGATTTTATTCTTAGAAAACTACTGAAATACTAACTTTAATTAAATCTCTGACCTCAGGAAAACCACTTAACCTCTCATGCCTTAGATTTGTTATCTAAGTCAGATAGTTTGATTGGATGATCTTTAGAATCATTTTTGGGTCAAAACATTCTATAATTTTTGTATAACGGTGTTTTAAAATTTGAAAGTATAGCCCCTTTACCTCCTTTTCTCTCTTTTTGGATTTAGGAAGAGAAGGCTTCTCTTTTGCATCGTACTCAGGAAGAAAGAAGGAAGAGAGAGGTAAAAACAGTTTTGTAATATTTTCTCTAGATAAGCATTTCTCCGTAGCATTTAAACAAGTCTTGGTTTACTGGTTATATATATATGCATATGTGTATATGTGTTATATATGACATAATGTGTGTGTATATTTAGCTATAGGAACATTTCTGGATTTGTTAGATTTTACAGTAAGTCGTTTATTTTGGAACCAGTGTAGAAAAATGAATTTAAAAGGCAGATTCCAGACTGGAGAGGGAATGTGGGCTTTTGGTTGACTTATTTACTTATGTTTGGTGTCCAGAAGATCTAGAAAGGCTTAGTATATAATGTTCATACTTCCATCAGTGAAAAGGAGAAAACTCAGTGTTAAGGCGTGTATCTCTATTTGTGAAGAAGCTAAAAGAAAGGAGCTAATGGCATTCCCTTTTCTTCTTCATTTCCATTTTATTCTTTGTCACACATTTCATTTTTCTGGTGATAATTTCTTAAAATAGCTTTACTTTCTTGGCTAATCAGCAATTGTAGTATCTTATGGCCTTTTCTAGTTTTTTGTTTTGTTATTTTTAACAATTCATTTAGGGCCAGCCCAGTGGCGCACTGGAGAAGTGTGCCGCTTGGGAGTGCGGCGGCGCTCCCGCCGAGGGTTCGGATCCCATGTGGAGACCGGTTCCCGCTCACTGGTTGAGCGAGGTGCGGGCGTGACACCGAGGGTTGCGATCCCGTTGCCGGTCAGTAAAAAAGACAAAAAAGGAAAAAAAAAAAAAAAACCAATTCATTTATACCTTTAACAAGTATTTATTGAGAGCACATTATGTTCCATGTAGTGTTCTGCTTTCTGGGTATACAGATAGTAAAACAGACAAGGTTCCTTCTCACCATGGGTAGAACACTGATGTTAACCAACAAGGAGCTGTTAAAGCAATGGAGTAATGTGATAGTAACTGGGAAGGCCTGCATCAGATGGGGCTGTCAGGGAAGGGCTCTCTGAGGAGGACAGAGTTGGACTAACCTCTGAAGGATGAAAACGAAGCTGCTGTGTGACAAGCTGGTGGAAGGGCGTTCTTGGTTAAAGCGACAGCAAACGCGAAGGCTGTTGGGCAGGGTTTCTCCACCTCGGCACAGCCGACATTTCTGATAGGTAATTCTTTGTTGTGGGGACTATCCTGTACATTGGAGGATGTTTAGCAGCATCCTCTGCTCTCCTTCTTGGACACAAATTGCAAATCTATTTGACTTTTGTATTGTGCCCCATATATCTTCTGTATGCTTTTCTGAATGTTTTACTTTTTAAATATCTGTGCTTTAGTTTGGATATTTTCTTCTGACTGAACTTCCAATTTACAAATTATCTCTTTAGCAATGTCTAATTGTTAATACATCCATTGAGTTCTTAATTCCAGTTTTTGTTATTTCAGTTCTAGAATTTTCTTTGATTCTTTTATATGTTCTCCAGTTCTCATCTTTTAATTTCTTGAACATAACTGTTGATTTTTAAAGATGATGTTTAAACTCCAGTAATTGGATCTGCTTTGGGTTTGTTTTTGTTCGTTTGTCCTCTTGATTTTTAGTTCTTGGCTTTTGCATGCCTAATTATTTTCAGTTGACTATTGGACATGCTGTATGACAAATTGAGTAGATAGTTTCAGGCTCAAGAATTTCATATCATTTGGAGAGCATGACATTTGCTTCTGGCAGGAAGTAAGGGGAGGGACAAAGTCACCTTTAACTAATACAGGGTTGAGTTGATTTGAAGCTGACTTTCAGTCCTTGTGAGCATTGATCTATTTCCAGTACACCTAACGTATAGCCATTTAGGTCCCAGCCAAAAGGCTGGCATGTTACCAAGACTTCCTCCTCAATAAATAACTGAATGAATAAATCAAATGTTTTGAAAATTCATGGAATGATGTATGAGCTTTTAATTAAATGCTCTTAGAATCATCATAGTAGTGAATAGATTTCAAAACAAGATTAAAGCTCACAGCTTCCCTTATTGTGACCATTTCAAGCTCAGAAAGTACACCTGCGTGACCTGCTGATGTTGTCTAACCCCAAGACTGTGTGGGTGAGTGTGTGTGCGGCTCAGGTTTATAGATGGTGTTCATAGATAACATGAAGCAGTGTAGTGTGGCCAGGCAGAGGACAGGGTTTAGTGTCACACCAGCGTCGGAATTCTAACTCTCACATCTTCGGGTGTTGATGAATCTTTATGGCAATCTGCATCTTCAAAACTGGAGTAGTAGTAGTAGTAGATGTTTGTGTTGTCCGTTTGTATTTTTTAGTGTTTAAAACTACAACTTAAAAAAATGTTTTGCAATGTTTGTGGGATTGTAAAATGGTGTGGTCATTTTGGAAAGCAGTGTGACAGTTCCACTCCAGTAGAAATGAAAATGTACATTCATAAAAAAACTTGTACGTGAATGTTCATAGCAGTGTTATGCGTAATAGCTCAAAGGGGAAACACAGCTCATAGGCCCATCAGCTAGTAAACGGATAAACAAGATGTGAGAAGTCCATATAATGGAATATCATTTGGCCATGAAAAGAAATGAGGTACTGACACATGCTATAACATGGATGAACCTTGAAAACATTGTGCTAACTGAAAAAAGCCAGACACGAAAAGCTGCATATTGTATGATTTCATTATATGAAATGCCCGGAATAGGCAAATTCATACAGGAAGTTGCCAGAGGTCGGAGGGGAAGAGGATAGGGAGTGATGGATGACTGCTCATGGGTACAGGGTTTCTTTCTGGGGATGGTGAAGTTGTTCTAAAATGAGATAAGTGATGATGGTTGAACAACTCTGAATATTAAAAATGTATTCAGTGAATGGTACATCTTAAAGAGTGAATTTTATAGTGTGTAAATTATGTAGGTTTTTTTTTAAAATCTTTTTCTAGCTAAATGTCTTCTTCACTGATTCTGACCAATTGCTCCCTTTCTCCTCCTCCCATTATTCAGGAAGAAAGGCGAAGACTGAAAAATGCAATAATTATCCAGTCATTTATTCGAGGCTGTAGAGACAGAAAACAGCAAGTAAGTTTGTTTTTAAAATGAGAAGGGAGTAAAAGATCATGTGAGAGCTTATTTTAAATATGGCCTTGTTATTAAAAATACCATTCATTTTGTATGTATTTTTATGTACCTGTTAATGTTGACAATAATATTTCCCCCAATAAATAATTTTATTAGTTATATTTATGTAAAAATGTATAGATAGGTGAATTTTTAGGTAATTTTTAAATAATAAAATACAAACCTGGGCCAAATCACAACTGAAGATCAAAAGAAAAGGAAGTGGTGGGAGGTTCTTTAAGGAAGCATTTAGGATCTTTCATTATTTTTTAGGTTGGGTTTGGTTTTATTCACCTTTTACTAATAACTTCAATAAGAAAATCTTAGTTGTCAGTTTCCACCACTCCTATAAAAACATTTAGCATATACTAAGATCATTAGAATCGTGTGTCCAAATAATATATTTACGTATTGTTTTGTTTTACTTTCAGTATTCCATCCAAAGAAGTGCATTTGATCGCTGCGCTAACTTGTCACAGTCTGGTGGCACTTTTTCCATTGCTAGTGGTCCCAACCTTACCCTTTTGGTAAGGCAGCTTCTTTTTTTTTACAAGCAAAATGAAGACTCAAAACGTTTGGTGAGTCTTAACTACATTTTCACTCATCATGTTTACTAATTTTCCAGTTTCTTTTTTTTTCAGTGGAAATTGTTAAGTATCTGATCAAGAAGTCAGGCATCCCCTCCACTATGTCTAACCAAGCCTTTGGGAAATTCTCCTCAGCTAGCTGTGATATAATAGGTCACCTTTGTGGTAATGTTTTACCTCTTGAAATGTGATATACATTTGTGATGGGTTTTTTATTTTTTTATTATGGAAAATTTCAAATATTAGAAAATTAGACTGTTGACCTTCCTGCCACATACCCTGACCAGCCACGGTAGTCATCGCAGACCCTTCCACACATTGCCCTCTGCACCGTTGTCTTAGGTCATTGTGAAGTGCATCCTAAATATCAATCACATCATGTTTATCTGTAAATGATACTTCGATGATCAGTCTCCAAAACACACAAGGTCGCTCTTTTTTAAAACATCCAAAATACAGCTCTGTCTCTCTAAAAATTGTAAAGGCTTTTGATGTTTTCAGTGATAAGGGACACTGTGTATTAATGATGGAAAATACATATAGAAACATAGATAAATAATTTTTTTTTTTCCTTTTTGTCTTTTTTTCGTGACCGGCAACGGATCGCAACCCTTAGTGTCGCGCCCGGACCGGACCGGGACCGGCAACGGGATCGCAACCCTCGGTGCTGCGCCCGCACCTCGCTCAGCCAGTGAGCGGCCGGTCTGTATGTGGGATCCGAACCCTCAGCGGGAGCCACCCGGCCGGCCCGGTTAAATAATTTTTTTAATGGAACTTGTTGTTATCCATTTTCTTAGGAAATATTAAGAGATTTGTATATAATTGTTAGGTTAAATATATATTTATTTTTAGAGGTTTTTGTTTACTGGTAACAAAAACTTCAAATTGTATTAAAGGGTAGGTGTACTTTGAAAAATAAGTCTTCCCCGCTATGCACTGTACATACCAGAAAGATGTCCTCATGAAATAAGTGCAGAGGGCAGAGAAATGCTTTATTGCTTGTCTAGTGTTTGTCTTCAAAACCCAGCATTCCTAGGCCGGAACATGAGAACTCTCTATAAACTAGAGCCAATATAGGGATGAAGTAAAAGCGGTTTAATCCACCCATTATGGACTTTCCTTCAAGGGCAGGCTCTTTCTGAGCTTTCTGTCTGAAGTTCTATGTGAAGTTGATGAGAAAAAGAACCAGAAAAATACAAAAGCAGGTGGTCTGGCTTTCTTTCTGGAAGATGCTGTCCCCATCTTCATATACTCCAGTCTTGTAGATGGAACATCACCAGGGAGCACAGACACGGAAGTGCTGTGGGGTATCAGTTGGTGTGCCTCTCCAGAGCACCCATTGCCTTTTGAGTGTGAGGTCTAGTCAGCAGTCCATGCACAGTGCACCCGCACAGTCCTGCTTTAGGAGCCATCAGAGAAAAGCTCAGAGGTCCAGTGTATGCATTGGACTCCAGGCCTCAAGCATACATGAAACAAATTGCTCATGTATGGATTCTGAAACCCAAATAGAATTAAATGTCACCAAACCTGGTAAATATGAGAAAAGTGAGCTCAAATGTCTATTCAGTTTGCAAACAAAAATGCAAAAGCAATAAATTAATCATATGGTATAAAAGTCTCCTGCCCCAGTCTTCTAGTTACCTAATTTCCAGTCTAGAAACAGGACTGATGCCACCTGTGATAGTTTTTAAAGGTACTCTATACAAAAATAAGAATAACTATATGCAGTTGTCCCTTCCTCGTTCCTCTCTTTAACTTTATGGTTATTATGACTAAATATGGTTCTCTGCTAGGTCAAATAGTGTACCGTGATTATATTTTCTTTTGTGTACGGTTTACCTTTATTCTGGAGTTAATAATTGCCTCACTTTTTAGTTGTTTAATTTTCTTTTGAGTCTCTTGGTAAAGTCTTCCTCCCCTACTTCTGTACAGTGCTGTTCAGTGCAGTTTTCCAGGTGACTAATGCTGCCAGGAGACTGGACTCTGTTTCCCCTGGAGCTTTTCCTCCTGCATTGCTTTCCAGGCCTGCCGTTACCCTGGAAAGTCTAGCTTTGCTTCAGTTTTATATCCTCTTTTATGGTTCCAAGTATTTCTGCTTTCTTGGTTTACTTCCTTATGTTACTCATATACATCCTTAGTTGACCTCTTGAGAAAGGATAATATATAAGAAGGAAAGTTTTAAGAACTTTACTCCTCTGCATTTAGTAAATAACAACAAAAAGTTAAGGAAAACAGATGTTGAATGTAGTGATATTAGAACTTTTTGGATGATATTGTTGCATTTGTCAAGATTGTTAAATTCAGTAGCAAAACCCTGTCCAGAAACTGTTCAAGTATAATACAGAATCACCACTGCTTTGAGTTTTTTTTTTTTATTTCACAGATAACTTGAAACATAAGTACTTGATTAATATATTTAGAGCTGTATTTTTATGGTTCCCACAGTTGTTCATTAACTTTTTATAATTGATATTTACTGCATACCTTATTTTTATAGATAGTAGAAATTTTAGGATTAACTACATGTCAGTATGGAAATATTCATATCATGCTGGTTACTGAGAAAATATGAACAAGGTAGCTCCAAACAACTCCAGAAGGAGGCTCATGGGAGCTTAGGATATGTTCCAATTTGTTATGCAGAGTCCTTTCGCATTAGTATTTTTATTGTTTAGAAACATTTCTTATCGGGCCGACCCCATGGGGCACTCGGGAGAGTGCAGCGTTGGGAGCGCAGCAACGCTTCCGCCGCGGGTTTGGATCCTATATAGAAATGGCCGGTGCGCTCACTGGTTGAGCGCCATGCGGGCGACACCACACCAAGGGTTGCAATCCCGTTACCGGTCACGAAAAAGGCAAAAAAAAAGAAAGAAAGAAACATTTCTTATCAAAGAAGTGTTTGTATAAAAAGAGACACTGCTTAAAGATAACAGGCAAAAAAGAGGTTGTAAGGCACATTTATAACCAGCCACTTAAGTAAGAGGCTCTCTTTTAATCCCAGCTGGTTCTAAATGGGTCTTACAGTATGAAATAATAGGATACAGTCTGTTTCACAAAAATATAGTAGAGGTGGAAGAGATTGTTTATTAGGTATTGAGTTTTTCAAGTTCATTTATGGCAGCTGTGTATAAACTGTATAGTCAGGCCTCTTGAATACAATTGATGGAAATCTGACTCAACCTTTACTGAGCTCATTGACCAGCTATTTATTGTGTCCAAGAGAATGGGGAACTCTGGTCAGCTCAGTCATATGCCTAATCTCGTACTGGGGGTAGTGGAGCCATATGGTTGCCTTCCCTACCAAAAGTTCATGGAGTTAGGGAAGGAAAGTATACAAAAGGATAGGGTGCTGGGATACACACACACATACACACACATACATAAGGAAAGAGGTGAAAAGGAGAACAGATATGCCATGTAACTTATGGTTAATACAGTATTTCTCATGTATTTTTATTACGAATTGCTGACTTTTACAAATGAATTGTTTTTGTTTCAGATTGACATAAGCTTTAAGTGTACTTTGTTTTAGTAACTAATTTAGTTATGTAGTTTAATACCAGTGTATTACGATGAAAAATGCAAATACTACTAAGTAAAACCTGACTTAGAAGATTTACTTTTTATCAGGTTTTGATTAGGTTTAAGTGTGTATTACCACTTACGGAAATTTGGAGTATTATGTAAATTAGAAAACAATTTAATTTCTATGGGTTAAGAGTTATATGTTTTGCTGTTTCAGATATGGCTGTATCAGAACTTAATTAAACACAGCTCTCTGTTTGTCAAGCAGTTGGATGGATCTGAGAGACTTACTTGCTTATTTCAAATAAAGAGATTGATGAGCCTCTGTTGCAGGTAAATTCTGTCATTGTTAGCAACTTGCATAATGTGTTGATCACTTTTAGTGTCTAGGGGAACACCTCTTTATTTTCATTTTCTGAGACAGTGTCTTTTCCACAAAGTTGTTTTTCTTTTTCTTTTTTTTTTTTTTCCTTTTTGTCTTTTTCCGTGACCGGTAACGGGATCGAAACCCTCAGTGTCGCGCCCGTACCGCGACCGGCAACAGGATCGCAACCCTTGGTCTCGCGCCCGCACCGCGCTCAACCAGTGAGCGGACCGGTCTCTATATGGGATCCAAACCCTCGGCGGGAGCGCTACCACGCTCCCAAGCGCCGCAGTTTACCGAGTGCGCCACCGGGCCAGCCCCACAAAGTTGTTTTTCTGAGACTGCGGAATATTCTGTGTATTACAATTTTTACTTCAGGTTATTCTGGCCTGTTTGACATAGAAGTTAAAACAGAGGTATAAGTACCTTCCAGATGATACTTTCTTTTATGGATGTCCTGGAATTATCATGTGAGATGTTAGATGTCCTGTTTACTAGCGAACGGACTGACCAACTGAGAGGACTCCCAGTGTGAGAGTGACTCTACTCAATAAGGGTTTCTATCAGAGCACACGCTGAAAGAGCCTCTTTAGAATGTGCTTTTCACCAGGCTCTCATTATTTATGTGTGATCTCACTTTCATGACTTTCTTGGATTCGGTCTACAAAGGAGCACATTCAAGTGGTGTGAGTTGTATTACCTATATGAGAGAGCAGCATAACATTTTTACCAGTTTTTAATAAGTTGTTTATATCTGCACAGTAGTAAACTTTTCAAATGATTCTGAGCCTTTAATGTAATTTCGGTTAATTTCCTGGAAGCCACATGCAATAAAGTTTGTTTAGGATTACTATCAAAACTAGACTTTCTTAACTGATTTTTCCAAAATACTTAGCTGGGCTAAAGATAGGAATAGAGAATCTGTTAGAAGAGAGAGAACCAGGAGGATCCCAAATCCCAAGAATCCATATTTTTTCCTAATTTCTTTTAGTTCTTGGAAAAACTTACTTTGAAAACACATTTTATGTATTCTCTAAAGCAGGAGCTAGCAAACTTTTTATAAATGGCTAGATAGCAAATATTTTCGGGTTCGCGGACAATGTATGATCTCTATTATATGTTTTTCTTTCTTTTTTCTTACAAACCTTTAAAAATGAAAGAACCACTCTTCACTTAACAGCTACACAAAAACAGACCAAGGGCTTGGTTTGGCCTGTGGGTTATAGTTTGCGAATATCTACTCTAATATAACTTTTGAAGATAGTCAGATAGCAAGTAGTTTTGGGGGGATTTTGGGGTTTTTTGTTTGTTTGTTTGTTTGTTTGTTTAAGATGACCGGTAAGGATTTCTTTATTTATTTATTTTTTTGTCTTTTTCCGTGTCCGGCAACGGATCGCAACCCTCAGTGTCGCCCCCGTACCGGACCGGGACCAGCAACGGGATCGCAACCCTCAGT